AAGGGAAGGGAAGGGAAGGGAAGGGAAGGGAAGGGAAGGGAAGGGAAGAAGGAAGAGAGGGAGAGAGAAAGAGAAGAGAGAAAGGAAAGAAAAAGGGAAAGAAAGAAAGAAAAAGAAAAAGGAAGGAAGGAAAGAAGGAAAAGTAATTACTTCTGGCTGTGTCTCTTTCTGTCACATTGGTCTGTGTTTATAACTTGTTCAATTAGCATTAATAGCTAACATTTGTGCTTTTTATTCTCGTTTATTGTAGGGTGGCAAACACACAAAGATCAGTGCAGTATTGTGCCTCAAAAAATGAAACACAAGAAAAATAAGGATTCAGGTTTTTTTGCTCTGACTACATATGCTGTCATAGAAGGAGTGTTTGATAGCAAGTTGGTAGAGAGTTTGTCAGTACACAAAGAACTGAGATCTAAAGTGAGTTTTCACCAGTTTTAAGTACAAATGAAGTGGTATCTTGCTTTCTCCCGGTAACTGCATTGATCAAAAGCAACTTGTGGTTTTGGCTTATTTATCAGTTTGAAACTCTCCCAGTGCTTCTAGAGTCTCACCAAGAGACACTGTTGACCAAAACTCAAGCCAAAAAAACATTTGTCCTTTCTGAATTCAGCCTTTTTCTTTGCAAGCCAAAAGTCAAGTCTGAGTTTTAGTGAGTTTATCCAAGTATAACAAAAATTCCTCATCATGAAACACTCAACCAACCCCAAGAGTAGACAATTACTTGGAACTAGTCACCGACTGAGATGTTACAGATGTCATGGAAAAGAAAGCTCATATATGTTTTTCTTGAATAGTAATGGCATAGAACACAGTCCTTACCAGCATCTTTGTCACTGGCACTCTAGTTATCTTTTGTGATATTTCAGGGCATTGCTATGCTAAGTCTTGAAAAGGATTATTAGGCAACTTTGCACCTATAGTTGCAAATATATTGGTTTAACAGTGACTTAGCAGGCAGCAAAAGGAATCTTCAGAGCTATTTATAGTCAGTCTGTGTCAGCAAATGGACCAAGAAAATCCTCAATCGTAATGTATTAGAGTGATTTCTAAATTGAACTTTATATAGAATATGAACTCTGTATACTGCACTGTTGCTATCTCCAGTGTTGTATCAAAAGCAAGATGAGGAGAAAGGCACACTAAATATACAGGTTTCATAATGACTATATTTATTCCTTTGATGGCTACTTACAGAAACTGAATTTATGAAGTTGTTCTTAGGATTTGGTGTTCATATGGGCACATTTGCCCAGGGCAGTAAGTTTCTTCACTCTTGATGAGCTCAGGTAGAAGTATTTTACTCAGCTAAATGAAATTATTTAAATATTTAATTTTAAATAACACCCCCCCCCATTTGTTTAAATAAGAAATTGAAAAGCTATAGAAGAAATACCTTCAGTAACAGGAAAGTTTGTCAGTCATTTCATTTGGCCAGGATTTCACTCATGGTATATACCGTGCAACTGAAGTTGCAAGTGGTTCTAAAAATAGCACCATAAATTAATAGAAAAATGTTATCAATATTGCTATGGCGATTCAGAAATGTGGAGGATATTTTATGGTTAATAATGTAGGTAAAGAGTGTGATTGGGGTAGTGATCTTAGTGTACTTACAACGTACCACTGGTTAAGAAGTGGTGTCTGTGTCTAACATAAAAGTGAATGTTAATGTTCAAAAACTGTACCTGTAACTATAATATTATATTAGACTACTGGACCATTACTTCCAATGAATCAAATATCCTAATACTAAATGAGATGCAGTGTGTGGGAAGAGGAATCGGAGCCAACAGACTCTGTTGGGCTTAGCAGTTTGGGTTGGGCTGCAGAAGCAGCAGGAACAGCAGCAGCATCTCAAAATGTGACAGAGATTGTAGCACAACCTGTATTTGATGAATCTTGATATGGTTAGCCTAATAAGCAGCAGAAAGTGACCCAGTTGCACATTAACTTGTTCCAGTTTAATGTTTGTTGTTATATGAGTAAAACTGAGGTGCATTAATTCTACCATGTGCAAAAGATATGTTACAGTGCAATAACCACAGAGCCTACAGAGTACCTAGAGAATCTGCAGTGTTCAGATCATGTTTTCAAGCTTACATAAACTCAATGAATATGCACATGACTTAAGAATTGAACTCTTCATTCCACAAAGAAGGTGAGAATTCCTTACCATACTGTAAAAGTTGATTAAGCTCACACGTAAGCAATTCATTGTAAAAGAAATTCAAATTTCATCAGGAATTGCCCATGGGATCTACCGGCAGGAATGGGGCCTCAGAATGTAATATAGAACTGCTGAGGCATCTGCTGCTTCTATTTTCTCTTATTGTTTTAATGCCAGAAACTATGTAAACTGGATTTCCATGCCCAACATGGCAGCAACTGTCTTTATTTAGACTTTGACAGCTATGTCTTAAATGGAAAAAAAAATACTATAGAAATTACAGAAATTAAGGACAAAGTGTACTGGTTTTGGCCAGGATAGAGTTACCTAGTTTCATAGTACCTTGCATGGTGCTATGTTTTGTGATGTAACACCATTGATAACACGGGGATATTTTCATTATTGCTGCACAGGGCTTAGGCAGTGTCAAGGCCTTTCAAGCTCCTCACCCTGTCCTACCTGTAAATAGGCTAGGGGTGCACAAGAATTTTGGGAGGGACATGGTTGAGATAACTGACACCAGCTGACCGAAGAGCAGTCCCATACTGCCTACTGGGGATAAACCATGACATACTTCCAGGAAGGATGCAAGCACCTTAAGAGATAGGGATATGCTAATATAAGTCCCCTGACTGAGATTGCTGTACCTTCAAAACTGGTACCTTTCATGTTTTGTCCTTTAACGCACACTTTCAAAAAACTCAGCAGATGAGAGGTGTTGTTCCACATGCCTGGAAGTCTATCTGTATTTCTTCCTTTCAGACACTAAGATATTAACTCAGCAATATCCTGGTGAAAATTCCTCACTCAGATTACTGATTTTTCTCTTTTAGATTCTATATATTTACACAGAGACTTTCAGACTAGAAATTATTTCTCATCTTTATTGCAGTATGTCCTATTATGAGGAAGAAACCATATAAGATAATTTGCAAGGAGGAAATACAAATTCACTGGCTGCATTGTTTATAGCAGATGAGAACAGGTCTCTATACCCTGAAAAGCACAGAACTAGGAGGGTCCTAATGCAGCCTTGAATCCTGCCATCTGCTTGGCGTGCCAAGTAGTCTCATCCACAGGTGGATTACGAATCGTCAATGTTCCTGTTGGAAGGTTGTTCTATTGCACCACTGATGGTTAGGAATATTCAACCTATAGATACTTATGTTTTACATCTATTTGATTTTGTGTCATTACCAAGACTGGCCTTAATAGATAATGTATCTATAAGGCTTTCTCGTTTTGAAGAATTCAGACAAAACAATAAAGTCCCTTTGTTATTTTCTTGTGAAACAGTTTCTATTCACTTTGTCAAAAATTCCTCCTCATCACCAATTTCACTTTGCAACCATTTTTCTTACTGATAGGATCTCACTCTGCATAGTAGAAAAGCAACAGTATTTCTTAATCTCTGCTGAAAACAACTTTACATAGTAAAGTTTGTGATAGCATCTGCTGCAATCACAACAGCATCGCATCACATTCCTGTGATTAATAATCCAATGAGCTTTTCACCTTTATGTTTTTTCTCTGCTTCCAGAAGGGTAGCTTCCGGTTTAGAAAGGAAAACTTGTTTTATAACTTACAAATATGTAACACATGAATCACATGCACACAAAAAAGTTGGTTCATTATTAAAGACCTTCCTCTGAGCCCTACTGTACTGCAGAGGAGAGCTTTGCAGGACTCTACAGTGAAGGTTATGAAGTTTTCCTGACTTGGAACTTAATGAAACTGGGTTTCCATCTTTAACATAATAACTTTTAGTTTCATACTCTTACGGTGTCTAGCCATCTTGCCTTGTCCCTTGAATTCAAGTTTAGCATCATGCTGAAAAGTAAAGTACTAATTTTTTACTTTTTTTTTTTGCCTCTAGTCTTTCTTTCAATTCTGTCTTCTCTACACAGTGCCACCACCTTTACGCTCTTTTTGTTTACATGACTACAGAAACTTTATCCTTGAGTTCAAATTTCTGACCAAGATCCTCCAATTCTGTTTATGGCTTCATACAGAGACATAAATTTTGGGACTATGCTGTACATGAAACCACTAAACTTGTACAGAAGCAAATAGTCTTCATAAGGGACTCAGTGATCTTAAACGTCTTTTCCAAACCAAATGATTTTATGATTCCACAGTTCTGTGACCCAGAGCTGACAGTGAGCTGGGTCACCGAATCTGAACACAGTCCTGTCACTATCCTTAAAGGGACAGGAAAATATATCAGCACTATTAAAGAAAATGTGATTCAAACATGGTAGGCAAATGCTCTCATTTGTTTTCTCTTCGATTGATGAAACTGGCCTTTCTTTAATGCTCACT